TATGCCTGCCAAAATATTTTCTAGATGACAGACTAAAAATCATCAGCAAAATTAAAATTTTAAATATTAGGCCTTTTGGGGTGTGACAATACCTCCAATTCTGGCAATAGTCTGTGTGTTCTGCCAAATGAAAACTAGGCCCTTTCTTTTAGAACGGCAGCTCCACAGCAGCACTGCTACTCAATGCTGTCAAATCAGACCCAGGAAGAAACAGGTAGAAAAAGTCAAAACTTTGAACTGTGTGACTCTGTCTGGCTCTGATTACTTTAGGGGAGAAAAATTCTGCCAAATAAAAGTTTGTGTTCACCCATAATATTAGATATGAAAAAATGTAAAAACCAGAAGGCCATCCACATTCATAAGACTTTTAAAACTGTGCATGTGTCCTGTAAAAAATGGCACATAAACTTGGCTTTGCGGTTTTTCACATTTCTCAAATTATCCTGAGGGCGGTGATCAAATTTTAAAAATACATTTTTTCTATACCAAAAAAAACCCCCAATTTGCTTTCGTTTTTACAATTGACTACGAAATATTTATGTTTAGGAAAATAATATAAAAGTAGGAAAGTTTTTATAAAATATAAACAATTTTTGTAAATTTTGGCACTCAAAAGTTTGGAATTTGGTTTCTTAAATAAACGCATTCTTAGACCGAGTCACTTCCTAGAAGATTATCATTTCGTGTCACAAAAGTGCCAAGGTGGGAGTCAGGCGGACAGTTATTGACCTGAAACTGAGTATTCAGAGCACTGGACAAGAAGCCAGAAATGGAGATTCAAGTCCAAGGTCCAAAAGAGCTAAGTGTAATTTTTCTTTTTAAATCGGTCACTTTCTCTCTCTCTAAAATTAGAATAATTGAGAAAATGAAACAACATAATCTGAGACATTTTTCAACAATGAAGCGCCATGCAAATATGTGTCCTGTGTGCAAATGACGTGTGGCAGCAGCAAGGGGCAGAGAGAGACGCACAGCCCGTCAGGGACGCAGGTTTGGGCTGCAGAGGGGACAGCCGCCCCCACGCGACCGGAGTCTCCAAGGGAACGTCTCTCGGGGACTGTGGAGTTGGGGCACATTTTGAACGTCAGTATGTTGTGGGCAGCTGGGGAAAGCGCGGGCGAGGGCAGAGGCTGACCCCGGAGTCCACGGGGCAGGACAGCGGGGAGGGGACAGGTGGAGGAGTCGGGGTGGCGTGACCCGCGGCGGGAGGACTCGGGAGGTACGTTCCAGAACAGGAGGCCCTCGCAGGCCTGCGGCAGAGGCAGGACTCGGCGGTGTCCTACGGAGGACGGCAGGTCCGTGGCC